GCACAGGCCCCGCCCCCTGTGCCGTCCCCCTCACAGGCCCTGCCCCCGTGCTGACCCCACTCACAGGCCCCGCCCCTGAGGGCGAGACACAGAAGCTGAGTGAGCACAGCCTGTGCCCGGACCTCCAGGGTCCTGCCTTGTCATCCACGAAGGGAGGTAGGGGTGGGGACTCCCCCATTTCACAGGCGAGGAAGCCGGGGCTCAGAACCAGGGGCAGGGGAGGGGGTCGCAGGCCCGGGACCCAAGTCCGGGCTCTCTGCACCGTTCATGCTCCTTCCGGTCAAGGGCCGGCTGCCTGCCCTCCGAGAGCCCCCCCCCCGCCCAAACACACAGGGGAACAGCCCCTCGGGTGGGTGACAGGGTGCAGTTCCTGCCGGTGGGAGAGACGGCACCCTCTCCCCTTTAGAGAACGGTTGGGGGAGCCCCAGGAGGACGGGCAGGCGGCCCAGGCTCCCCTCGGGCACCAGAGGGCGGGTGTGGGGGGGGGCCTACCAATCTGGTTCCGGTTTGGCGAGTAGAACGCGTTGACCACCGCGGCCCCGATGATCCAGCTGAGGAGTGAGCTGGTCACGTGGAGTCCTGTCTCCTGGACCCTCCCTCTGGGCCACCCTGAGGGCCCAATGCCACCAGCCATGCCCGGCACTGCCCCAGCCAGGGTGGGGGTCGGCCAGTCCGGACACCTGGCTCCTCCCTGGGCCTGACCCCCAAAAGCAGGGGTGGCTCTAAGTCAGACCCACAGCCTCCCCCCACTGGCACAGTGTCCGGCTCCGCCCCGTGCTGTCCTGGGGACTCCTGGGCAGCCCCGAATGAGGCAGACAGGCTCTGGGTGTAGAGGGATGACGGTGATGGGGGCCACCCTGGTCCCGCATTTGCGTGTCTCCCAGCAAGACCTGTCCCCTGGGGCCTCAGTTTCCCCCTCGGTGACAGGGTCATACTGGAGCCGTCACAGCTCATGGGAGGGAGGTGAGCTGTCGCCAGAGGCTGCCTCCCCGCCCTGGTGACCCAGGGCCCCTGGTCCGCAGGCCGGTCTGGGAGGAGGGGCCCAGCGGAGACAGGGGCTCACGTTGGAATACTCCTTGTCCAGGTACATGCTCCTCTCGTCCAGGATGTAGTCGGGGTACCCGATCTGCACCTTCATGCTCATGGCCTGGAGGGGAGGGGAGGGGTGGCCGTGTGTCCTGGCTGTGCCCCCCGCCCTGCAGGTCACGGACGGCCCCTCCCACAGGCTGTGGGGGCGGCTTCGTGGAGGGAGAGACCCTGGCTGGGCCCGGGCCACCAGCTTTGCACCTGACATCTGGCCAGGGGTCTCGGGGGGGGCCCGGAGTGGGGGGCTGAGGCCTGTGGGTGGCTCTGCTGCCTTCACACTGGCCCGGGGCTCCTGTGGGTCCTGGCATCTCTTCCGGGCACCCTGATCCTGAGGCCTTGGCCTCTCCCCGATTCCCGGGGTGCTGGTGGGTCTCCCCACCCACTCCTGGATGCTGGCGGGTCTCCCAGGCTTGGCTTCCACTCTTGTCTCTGCCCACAGGCCCCTCTTGAGTCAGCGCCCGGCCTGGCCTGGCTGAAGTGAGTGTGAAGGTGATGGCCAGGTGCCCCGCCCGGGCTACCCTCCCTGCTGGGAGCCCCGCCCTGGGCCCTGCAGCCCGCCCACCTTCTCCTGGGCCTTCTTCTTGGACGCCTCGTCCATCCAGCTCAGCTCGCCCAGGGTCTCCACGAACACAGCCCGCATCTTATCGATGAGCTCTCCAACCTGGGAGCACCCCGTGTGCCCGGGTGACCACCTGGCCCACAGCCCCAGCAGTAGCTGCTCTGGGTGGGAGTGGGGTTGGGGCGGGGCTGGCCCTCCTGGGACAGGGTCTCTACAGCTGTGCTTCGTCCTAGAGGACCTAAGGCCTCCCACCCCCGGACACACACGCCAACCGTCCCAGGCAGCTTGCAGGGTCCTTGCCCGGCTGGGACCCCGGGCCTGGTGGGAGAGGCTTCCCCTGGCCTCCCTTCTTGGGCCTGGGAGCACCCCGTGTGCCCGGGTGACCACCTGGCCCACAGCCCCAGCAGGAGCAGCTCTGGGTTGGAGTGGGGTTGGGGCGGGGCTGGCCCTCCTGGGACAGGGTCTCTACAGCTGTGCTTCGTCCTAGAGGACCTAAGGCCTCCCACCCCCGGACACACACGCCAACCGTCCCAGGCAGCTTGCAGGGTCCTTGCCCGGCTGGGACCCCGGGCCTGGTGGGAGAGGCTTCCCCTGGCCTCCCTTCTTGGGCATCAGGGTAAACGTGTGCTTCCCCGTCGCCTCCCCGAAAACACCCTCACTGCTGGGGCCACAGGCCGCCCCGTGGGAGCTCTGGTCACAGGGCCAGCGCGTCTTGTGGTCACGCGGGTGCGTCCCTGCACGAGCCCCCGACCACAGGGAGCCCGGCACCCACCACGTTCTTCCGGCCCCCACCACGTTCTTGCTGCCTCTGGAGAAGGCCTTCTTGACGTAGAGGGAGCCCACGGCGCTCTCCATGTTGCTGTTGACGTAGCTGACGCATTCCCGCCAGCGCACCTCGTTTGTGGTCTTGCCATACAGCACCTGGTGGTCATTCATCCATTCATTCATTCATGCATTCATTCACTTAGACATTCATTCATGCACTTACTTAGTCATCCATTTACTCAGTCATTAACTCACTCACGTATTCATTCATTCACTCACTTATCCATGCATTCATTCATTCACTTAGAGATTCACTCACTTAACCATTCATTCATTCACTTATCCATTCATTCACTTAGTCATTCATTCATTCACTTACTCAGTCATTCACTTTCATATTCATTCATTTACTTATCCATTCACGCAACCATTCATTCACCTAGTCATTCATTCATTCATTCACTTGTTCGTTCTCTTATTCATTCATTCACTCACTCACTGTCATTCATTCATTCCACGGCATTTACCAACACGTACTTCCCCTCCTCAGCTTTAGAGCACCCAGGGGTTGTGGGGGAGACACGGGATGACCTCAGAGACTTACCTTTGGATGCTGGGCATGGGGGTGGGGAGGGTCGAGTGTGCCATTTGCAGGGGGCTCCACCCAGGCAGGGAGTTGGGGGATGGAGGGGCCCTACCCAGCCCCAAGCTCCTCATTCCCTGTGCTTGCCTCCCTGGCCTCCCTGATGGCTGTGACCCCATGACCTCAGTGCTCGTGCCCCACACCCCCGACAGGGGCTGAGTATCATAAGCGAACTGAAGGAATGACAGCTGGGCTCAGGGCTGGGGCCCGAGTGCTCGGGGAGGGATATTGGTTATGGGTCTTTGGCCTCCACGTTCTCTCCGAGACAGGGAGCTCAGTGTGGTAGACGGCCTCTGAGGCATCTCATGAGAGATGGAGACGGGCCTCAGACAGGAAGCTCTCCCCCAGCTACAGCCTGTGGGCTCTGGAGGCTGAGATGCCTCAGGAGGGGTCCAGTCCCTAGCAGATGGCTCCCCTGGCCATTACCATTCACCCGTGTCCCTCATGCTCAGTCATGGCCCGGGGGGCTCTCTTCTGAGAGGAGCAGCTGGGGGAGGGGCAGAGCAGGGCAAAGGTGCAGAGGCTGCCCGGCCTCCCGGGCCTCCCGGGCCTCCCGGCTGCACCTGTCTGAGAAGACCCCGATGATGCTCTCCAGCTTCTGGAGGTAGGGGATGCCGTAGACCACCACCTCCTCATCGGGCAGCAGCTCGATTCTGACCGAAGACAGCACTGACTGTATGAAGAGGGT